TTATGTCAATTTTAGCAAGGAAGTGGAATAACTGGAGTCCTCAGACTTACTATCTGGAGTGTAAATTTTTACAATCACCATTTCACTTCATTAGTATGACCAAAATCAAAAAGACTGACACTACAAAATTATGCAAGGTTGTCGGGTACCTGGAGTTATCATACAGTCTGGCAGTGTGTAAAATGGTCTAACACAACCGTGGAGAACTGTGGCAGTTTTTTATGAACCCATATACCCTATGACCCAGCCATTCAACCCCCAGGCCCAAGACAAATGAAAATATGTGTTCACAAAAAGACTAGTAAAATAATTTTCAAAACTGCTTTTTTTAATAATAGCACCAAATTGTATATCCCGAGTGTCAACAGGTAATAGATAAACAAACTGTGGAGTTACAAACAAAATGGGATATTTTCAACATTAAAATACAGCACACTTGCAATATATGCAGCATGTTTACATCGCAAAAAATATGTATATATATTGAACAAAAAAATTCAGACTCCCCTCTCTAAAACAAAAACAAAAAACAGTATATGTTCTGCAGATTCCATTTTATGAAATTTAATAATAGGCAAAACTAATCTATAATGAGTGAAATCAGAAAGTGTGTGCTTTTGGAGGTAGAAGAATTGACTGGAAAAGAACACACAGTAAAACTCTTTGATAATGAAAATATTATATATCTTGTTTTGGGTGTTGGTTACTCAGTGGCAAAGCTGATTAAATGAAACACTTTAGATCTGTGCATTGGATTGTATGTTAATTATATCTGAAATTTTAAAAAAGATTTTGCCAGCACTGTGTAATGGTTGAGAATGCTGGCCAGGCTTTAAACCCAGATTCTGCTATATATTGGCAGTTTTTAGATAAGCTAATTAATTTACTGAGCCTCAAATTCTTGACATGTAAAATGAAGCGAAACATGATTTTTTTGAAGATTCAATAAATAGTGTATGTAAAGCTATGGGGATGGTACTTTATTAAGTAATAAGTATTCAATCAATACTAGTTACACTATTTTAACGAAGTCCTTTCATTTTTTTTAAATACCTTGTGCTTCTGCTACCTCCTATACCTTTACAAATTATTTTCCTACTCAGACTCTCTTTCTGTAGAACATTCATGAATCTTTCACAGGTTTGGATTTTTTTTTTTTCATTGCTATAGTCAGCTTCTCAGCCCCTCTCTTCCCCGAAGATCAAAGCAGAAGAGAGTTTTTTCATATTTCCATCAACTATGACCAACATAATATGACCACATTAATATCCTTCTGTGACTAACAATATGATCTTGCATCTGCTTTTTTTCTGTAGTCTTATCTAAAGCACAGCACTAGACATTTCATAAACAAGTAATTTTAAAGTCTGCAAAAATCATAAATGATTATTTTTCTCACTTTTGCACATTTACACCAAGACTTACAGCTATAGAGGAGTGAAAGACAGGCAGTTCTGGTGCTAATCCCACGCTTTCATTCCATAGTTCCTTACTGACCACTCTGTGAGTGGGACCGCAAGGGTCCAGTCTGCTCCTGGTCACTGGCTTCCTGCTCCTATTACTCTATCCTTAGTTCTCCTCCCCCCTTTTTCAATTTATTTTTACACATCTGTTATATACGGAAAGCCCTTTCTAATTAGAGGACAGACAGACACCAAGTTTCTATGGATGTTTTGTACTCATTTCCCTTTTGTTTTCTAGTTGCCTTGAATTTTCGAGCTGTTTCATAGAGAATCAAGGAAAGAAATGTTTGTCAACACATTTTTGAGGAGGAAGATGGTGGGGCTTTCAGGAAACTAGATTTCACAATGTGATGAGGGGTTTGGGGAGACCTATTTAAGACTTGTGATCTAAATGCCCCTCTAGACTCAGGGAAGTATTGAGTTTTACTGTTATTAAGATGATCAGTTATCACAAAGTGCTGTATGTGCCTTGGTTCCTAAGGTGTATTTGATGATGGGGGTAAGTAGTTTGTAAGAAGCTATGGTGAGCTATTCAAGCAGCCTGGGTCTGAGAGCACCAGTTGTCTAAAACAAGCAGGTGCATTTTTTGTGGAGGATAAACTCTACTTACCCACCTTTTCTGGATCCTTTACAATCACTAGATGCTTAATCCCCAACTTTTCTCTGCTAGTTCAAGAATGTTAACAAGGGTGTCAAAGGTTCTCGTGTATGAGTTGTCTTTCATTTGTAATTACATCTACATTTTTTCTCTCCTGTGTCATCCCTACTCTTTTCTTTTTGACTTCTGTATTGCCTGTTGGCATAAACAGGGGCTCTTTTCATCGAACGGATTTGGTGGGGGTTGACATTGTATGGCAGTGCTAATTACCGAGTTCCAACATCAGTGAGAAAAACTAGGACATACCGGTAGCCATCTATTGCATGGGATGACTCACAGCATGGTGGACTGAAGGTCAAACCTGTCATAAACATTTCATAAGAAATGGTCAATGGGAGAACATAATGTCTGATGAGTACATACATTTGAATTAGAGTAGGAGAAAGTGTGCTTTAATGAGGGTGGAAATATCACAGGCTGGAAAATGAACTGGCTGTCCACATCCACTTGATAACAGGGGAGTAGAAAGTTTTGTGTTTAGAGTTGGCCACTCTGCAATGTTTCCAAACCCCTATAATACTGGGGAATCCTATATGGATCTGGGCTGTAAACCCAAGGGAGGAGCTGAAAACCATGATGCATGGGGTCCACTTGATAACAGGGGAGTAGAAAGTTTTGTGTTTAGAGTTGGCCACTCTGCAATGTTTCGAAACCCCTATAATACTGGGGAATCCTATATGGATCTGGGCTGTAAACCCAAGGGAGGAGCTGAAAACCATGATGCATGGGAGTATACGTTCTGCAAAAATGGCTTTCTCTGTGCCGGGTCCTGTGCCCAGCAGTAAATAGCCTTTTCTGGGTATAAACAGGAGTGACATACAGTGTCTCCCTTTACCCAAACTTCTGCTTTCCATGGTTTCAGTTACCCGCAGTCAACCTGCAGTTTGAAAATATTAAATGGAAAATTCCAGAAATACGTAATTCATTAGTTTTAAATTATGCACCATTCTGAGTTGTGCAATGAAATCCCATGCCGCCCAACTCACTCCCACCCAAAAGGTAAATTATCTCTTTGCCCAGTGCACTGATGCTGTATTCACTACCCACCCGTTGTTCACTTAGCAGCCATCTCCGTGACCGCACTGACTGCTACAGTGCTTGTGTTTAAGCAAACCTTATTTTACTTAATAATGGACCCAAAGTGCAAAAGAAGTGATGCTGGCAATTCAGATATGCCACATAGTAGCCGTAAAGTGTTCTCTCTAAGTGAAAAGGTAAAAGTTCTCAATAAGAAAAGAAAAAAAAAAATGTATACTGAGATTGCTAATATCTATGATAATAACAAATCTATCTGTGAAATTGTGAGGAAGGAAAAAGAAATTTGTACATGGGGTTTGCGACTTTCTGCAGTTTCGGACATCCACAGGGGATCCGGGAACACATCCCCTGCAGATAGGGAAGAACTACCACATCAGCAGGCACCCTGAAAAAGCCGATTGCCTTTGAAAAGAAGGGGTTCCTCGGGAATAACAAAATCCCTTTTATGGCCAGAAAATCACTAAACCCTCACCCCTAAATTATTTTATTTATTAATTATCTTATTTATTTATTTATTTATTAATAAATTACCGAGTTTGAGGAACTTTGGCTGACGGTAACTTAGCAGGAGGGGGAATAGACTTCGTCATCCTCTTCCGCCCCCTTGTGGCATCTTTTTTGTCACTCTGGACTCTTGCCCTGGGCTGCAAACAGCCTTATCTAAACTAAACATACTCAATATTTAGTACTTGGTATATTTCCAGAAAACTGTCCAACTAAACTGAGATTGTTACTTCCGTTTGGCATAAACTAGTATAGTGATACCCAATAATTTTGGTGTCTTCTGATTTATCTTCTAATTAATCATCTGTCTCATTTTTAAACTGATTTTTTTTTCCCCCATGGGTGGACTTCTAAAAATTCTATATTGCATTCTTCATCTGTTTCTTCCCATATGTCAATATTTAATCTATTTGTTCACCCGTTTTATTATTTTATAGTGCATTTTTTCTTTTTAAGATTTCATTTTTAAGTTTGTCCGCTCGCCAACTGAAAAACACTAAGAAACCCGTTCTTTTCCCTCAATCAAAATTCTTTCTCCCACTGCTTTCTGTCCTTCTCTCCCTAGTCTCTGCCATCCCTTTTCTCTGCCTGCCTCTACAGTGCCAGTTCTCTTCAAGACATGTGAGGAGTCTACTTCTGCACCGACTTCCTTGAGGAATGGCCAGACTGGACTGCCAGCTAGGTTGTCTTCTGAATCCCAAGCTGCTCACAAGAGTGCCCACACGGCACCTCTGCACAGCACTGCAAACGCCCTGTGTCCGAGTCAACACTCATCGACCTCTCTCCCCGTGTGCCTAAGACAGCCAAGTGCCCCAGAAACTTTCGGCTTTCCCAGGACAGAACTCTGCCTGCCTTCCCTGTTCTCTCACTCCCGTATTAATTGCGATAGCTGTCGACTACAGCTCCTGCACCTCTCTTACGTAAATGAACTTCTTTCATCCTCTGTCTCCTATCTGAGCTCAGACCACACCATCTCCCCCTTCTTGGATACCTTCCATGTCGCCAGTGGTCTATTCCCACTCCATACTGCAGTACAGTGATTTTTCTGAAATATAGATCTGTTTCTGTCACTCCCCTGTGAAAACTCATCCATGGAGTGTTTAACCAGTCTGTATTTGGGGACTGGACCAAGTGCGAAGGGATCTTGTGTCAGCCAGGACTCTGGTAGACGCCCCTCCGCACGATCCACTTGTGGTGGTCGGGGGCGGGGAAGGGGCGGGCTTGAGCCCCCTTCCCCCCTCCTTCTTACTGCGGAAAGCTGCAGAGCGAGCGGCACTCACTTCCTACTCGGCATTCAGCGGGGAGGGAGCCTCTGAACAGCCACGTAGGCATTCTCTTCTCTCTGGAGGAAAAGGCCCAGCAGCTGTCGGAGGAACGGCCCAGCAGCTGTCAGCCAAGGGACATGTCGCAGCTAAGTAAGAATCTGGGTGACTCGAGTCCTCCGGCGGAGGCCCCGAAGCCGCCTGCCTATAGCCGCCCTACGGTTCTGATGCGGGCCCCGCCCGCTTCCTCTCGGGCTCCACCAGTCCCTTGGGATCCTCCAATTGACTTGCAGGCTTCATTGGCCGCTTGGCAGGCACCTCAGCCCGCCTGGGAGGCCCCGCAGGGCCAGCTGCCCGCCCCGGTGGCTCCAATGGCCCAACCTCCGACCCTAGGGGGCCCGATGGTCCAGGCTCCCCCGCTGGCGGGCCCAGTGGGCAAGCCTCCGACTCCCGGAGTGCTGATGGTGCATCCTTCGGCTCCGGGAGCCCCGATGGCCCAGCCTCAAACTCCGGGAGTCCTGATGGTGCACCCTTCAGCTCCCGGAGCCCCTATGGCCCATCCTCCTCCTCCTCCGGGGACCCCGATGTCCCATCCTCCCCCTCCGGGTACCCCAATGGCCCATCCTCCCCCTCCGGGGACCCCGATGGCCCATCCAGCCCCTCCGGGGACCCCGATGGTGCATCCACCTCCACCGGGGACACCGATGGCTCATGCTCCCCCACCGGGGACACCGATGGCTCATCCTCCCCCGCCGGGGACACCGATGGCTCATCCTCCCCCACCGGGGACACCGATGGCACAGCCTCCTGCTCCGGGAGTCCTGATGGCCCAGCCTCTGACTCCCGGAGTCCTGATGGTCCAGCCTCCTGCTCCAGGAGCCCAGATGGCCCAACCTCCACCTCCGGGAGCCTTGATGACCCAGCCTCCACCTTCAGGAGCCCCCCTGGCCAAGCCTCCAGGTCCTGGAGTCCTGATGATCCAACCTCCAGGTTCGAGAACTACGATCACCCAGCCTCCAGCATCAGGAGCCCCCATGGCGCAGCCAGCGGCCCCACCTGCGCAGCCTCTGGCTTCCTGGGCTCCACAGGCTCAGCCTCTGATCCTGCAAATCCAGTCTCAGGTTATAAGGGCTCCTCCACAGGTTCCCCAGGGCCCACAGGCCCCCCCTGCGCAGCTGGCCACACCCCCGGGTTGGCAGGCTACCTCGCCGGGATGGCAGGCCACGCCGCAAGGCTGGCAGGCCACACCCCTGACCTGGCAGACCACGCAGGTCACCTGGCAGGCCCCTGCGATTGCCTGGCAGGCGCCGCAGCCGGTGCGCCAAGGCCCTCCACCCATCCGCCCTGGCCCCCCGCCCATCCGCCCTGGCCCCCCG